ATTCCAATTACACCAGCAGCTAAAACTATTTTGATTAAAAGGAAATTTAAAAAAAACATTAAACCTTTTCCGAAAGGTGGGGAAAATACATGATTACATATACTGTATAGTAATTAAAAATAACTTTCACCTGCACAGTGAAATTCAGCACTGCCTGTCAAAATTTAGTTTGTTAAATGAAAATTATGTTTGCAATACGCAACAGCAGTGCTCCAATGAACAATTCATTAACGATGCCCCTACAATCGTGCGTTGTTATTTTCTCAGATTTTCTTTATTTCAAGTAACACTATCTGGGCGATTCTATTTTTTTCCAATGCCCTCTGACCCGAGTGACCCATCTTTGCCAAGAGTTTAATTAAAACTCGCTTAAACATCAAAGTTAAAAGCCACACAGCACAAAATTATTCTGTTAAAAAAGACAGAACCCACATAAAACACTTAAGATAATCCGCTAATGAATTATTTACATGCATATTTATAATTCATCAGTGCAGGGAAAGTGGCCCTGTGCCTCTCTATAAGGGCTTTGGAGAAGAATCAGTCAATGGCGATAAATAATACATGAAGGCAAAGGTGCAGTCCTGCAGATACCTGCTCATGCCACTGCTGGCAGAAGGGACGAGCCCGCCAGAGCCCGTGCAGTGGCTACTTGTCTTACTTCCAATCGAGCGCCCCACACTTTACCCCCACCACGCAGCCAACCCGCCGATTGATTACAGCAATTTAAACCGTTGGGTGGACGGAGGTAGGAAGGTTAAAATAAAGAAATAACACTTACATAAATAACGGTTAAATACATAAATAACGACAAAATTGCTGAATAATGATTAAATACATAAATAACGATTAAATACATAAACAACGACTAAATTTCAGAATAATGATAAATGCATAAATAGCGATTAAATACATAAACAACGACTACATTTCTGAATAATGATTAAATTCATAAATAACGATTAAATACATAAACAACGACTAAATTTCTGAATAATGATTCAATGCATAAATAACGATTCAATACATAAACAACGACTAAATTTCTGAATAATTGTTAAATACATGGATAACGATTAAATACATAAACAACGACTAAATTTCTGAATAATGATGAACTACATAAATACCGATTGAATACATAAACAACGACTCGTACCACCGTAGCAACCCGTCGCGCTTGGAGATCGAATCCAACCGGCGGACCTCTGGACTGCAAGTCCAACGTTGCTGCTCACCGTTACGCACCACAGCACCCCCTCCCCACCCCCCACACACACACATATGAACAATCTGAGTAAATACATAAAGCTGGTCAAAATCGATTCGACGAAAGCAGCTCCTAAACCCAGCGCGCGATTGTGGCCACATCGTTGCCATTCATTCATCGCCCGGCCGGTGTTTGTGCACGCGAGAAACCGCGCCTCTCTCGAACACCGCCGGTTCGGGTCAATCGTTCGTGGCAACGGAGGGGGGCCGTTCCTAAAGTTGTCAAAAGTTCGCACTGCCGTTGCTCTGAAGTTGTCTCACGCGCTCGCCGAGAGCGGACGTGGAGCTTGAACTTAAAAAAAAAGCAAAGATATGCAAATATTGATGCATGACGTTGTACCTGAAAGTGCATTGCAGATGATAACAAAATAAACATACGCATGCACGTACACAAAAGATCGGGATTACCTTGATGGGATCTGGTGAGATTAAGTATAGGAGGCAAAGGCGCAGCCCTGCAATTGTTTTTGTCACGCCACTGTTCGTGAAAGGGGGCCTCCTTTAGAAGGAGCTCTGGCGAGCCCCTAGAGAAGGTAATTAGACTATTCTCCATGATGGCCAGACGTCTTGAAAGAGAGATACAGAATATATGGAGCTTATATTATCTATATATATAAAAGGGAAATTTGTGAATATGCGTGTCTGTTCAAAATGTTTAGCGTACTTCCCGACATGCAACAAATTTGAAATTTGCCATGTGGGTACTTTTCAGACTGTACACCATGCAAAAAATATAAAAATAAACTTTTGTATATTTTTGGGGGGTGGGGGGGGGCGCAAGAATGTATATATTTTGCACGACAAGTGAGCTGTGACGTCACATCTGTCATGTCACCCGCATGCGGAAGCGTAACGCATTGTGCCTGCTGATGTCACGCACCCCCAACCCTCCGCGAGTAAAGTGCGATACAAATGTGTTGCAGGTCTAAGGCGTTCTTGGCGCAGCATTGCTTTATTATTGCAGTCGTTTACTGCCGTACGCACCCTGAAAGTTGTGTGTGTCTGCTGCAAGCGTGTGTATGTGTACCTATGGACATGCACGCGTGTGTGTGTGGGGAGCGGTTGTGTAGTGGTTAGCGTGCTGCGCTACGAACCCGGCGACCCGAGTTCGATTCCCGCTCATGGCCACCACTGGTGACGATTATTTGAACCGGTCCTGGGCCTCTCCTAGGTCGACTCAGCCTCAAACGAGTAACTCACGGCCACCACCGGTAACGATTATTTGAACCGGTCCTGGGCCTCCCCTAGGTCGACTCAGCCTCAAACGGTTAACTCGTGTGGTGTGTGAACATCGCCACTGGGGGAACAAAGGTGGCTGGGCGTGGTGAATCCAAGTCCCGGGCAAAGCCGGGTAGTAAAGCTAGTATATTATATTGGGTACTGTGGATTTCATATATTCATAACCACACAACAAAAAACAAGTAAAATAACTGCGAAGATTATTTTGTTCGTCAAAATCAAGTAGAATTCTCTCCATCCATGACTTAGTCGTCTTGATCAACGTTATCCCGGTATCGTTTGCCTTAAAAAGAAACACCCTTTCGTCGGGTTCAAATTCAGACTTCTATCAGCTGAATTGTGACCTGTGGTGTCGTTCTTCCCCTGTACCTCCGATTAGCACGGCTGGTTACGTACGGTGCGAAAGAAGTTTAACTTACGTACATGCGAACGTTAAATAAACACGTACACACAGTGCGCACTTTGATATTATTGCCGCAAACGACTTTATAGTTACGTGTGTACACACATTTACCAGTATTTTTTTAATACACGTAGCTCTGTTTTTTTATTTTAAATCCCATTATTTAAATTTATATTCCACATTTAATTTATATTCCACATTTAATTTATTTTCCACATTTAATTTATATTCCACATTTAATTTCTGTTCCACATTTCTCCGCGCAGATTTTTTCTTGCAGACGAAAGCCAATGTGTCCCTTTCTCTGCCACTTTTGTGGGATTAAAATATCGGGCGATATATCTCAGCTGGTGGTGCGGCGCAGTCTCCCAATCCAATTAAACCGCTCAGCAGAGAGAGGATAGGAAGAACAAAAAAAAACCTAGTTTGGCAGAACATGCAAACATAGCCTCCTTCCCTCCTCCTCTTTCCCAGCATCTCCATCCCAATCTTACACGCAGCCCTCCGGCCACCAACGCCACGGCGATGAGTTATTGTTGCGTAATGCCTGCCAGCTGCCGGAGTACTGCAGTGTTCTCGGCTCAAAGACAAAGATCCCCCGTGTAGCCTTTACAGACTGTTTGTGGGGGGAGGGGGGCAAGTGCTGTGAGCGAGCACCACAAAGAGGGGGTGGGCGGCTTAGCACCACGCCCGGCCGCATTTGTCTCCCCAGTGGCGATGATTACGCACACCATCTACTCATTTGAGGTTGAGTCGATCTAGGGGAGGCCCAGGGCCGGTTCAGATACCTGTCACTTGTGTTGACCGTGAGCGGCAATCGATGCACGACCGCTCCCGCAAAACAAGACGAAGACAAAGATCCCCCGAATAGTCTGAACAGACTGTAGGGTAAAAGTGCTGTTAGCGAGTAGCATCTATGAAGGCCGGCACGACGCACGAGGAGGAAGGTGGCCGACACCACGCACTTACACCTTGTCAGAATGAATAATGAATGACTCTCTTAGATTAAACCGGTAACTAGGTGTGTGGCGCTGTACACGTGGGAGCAGCACCAGGGGACACTCAGTAGCCTGGGGGGCAGGGCTCTGAGTGTGAGAGATGGGTTTAAGAGGGGGAATGCAAGGATCATCTTTTGGGAATCCGCGTCCGTGCACAGATCAAACGCACTTTCTTGCGTGTGTTCCAAATCCCATCCAGATCACGCGTGAATGCTTGAGGAGTCCTCCAACACGCGATGGTGATCTGTCAAGAGTTTCCAAATGGACACTTCAAAATCGGGACATGAGATACGCAGCGCTTAAGTTCTCACTCGACATTTTCCGGAGCGCAGCTAGGCTGGCTAAGAGTAGGGGTTATCGGTTATAAGGTACTACCATTACAGTACAAGGTATGGCCTTGACATAATCATTCTTACAGTATTGCACCCTGTATTCCTATAATCCTACATGAACATGCGTATAACCATCATGAGGACAAAATGAGGCCGGATGGATATGGTGTGCACAAATAATTCCTATCGCTGCAGTCTGTACTGTTTCGGCTAAAATTAAGCACTGGTGAAATGGAGAGCGGGAGGGGGGTCGCTGGCGGGTGCTTGACGGATCTTTGTCTTTGAATGGGAATAGTCGTTGGCACACTGCTGTACGAACCAGGAAACTTGAGTTCAATTCCTGGCTGTGACTAATATCAGTGGAAAGTCATATTAGTACCTTTCCTGCATCACCCCGAGGTCAGCTGAACCTTGAATATGTATCTCATACGATGTGTAAACATCACCGTTGGCTACAGGGGGATCTTTGTGTGTGTGTGTGCGAGAGACAAACGCGTTCTCTCGGAACGGACATTGCTGCCTCTCTCTCTCTCTAGCTCCGAGGCGTGGCGCTGGGCACGTGGCATTTGCATCGCACGTCGAGTCCCCGTGCGCTGCAGCGGCGTCGAGGTCACAACCCGGGAGGACGACGCCTGACCAGAGGGGGCAGGAGGGCCGCTGGGGGTTTAGACGAAGGTGGACAGGACGTCACGTCACAAGTTGAGCGGGCATCGCGTGAAGAGTCAGGGGCACATAAAAAAAATGACGGTTTCTATTTGGTGTTTGAACATCGTGACATCTGTTTTTATTGCCAATAAGGGTAAAGCCTATTCTTACATTTTCAGACTGTGATACCGGCAAAAAAGGTTCCCATTTTGTAGTCAGGGCCATCTTGACAGGCACGAGCAGTCAGTCGACTTTGCACTGCTTCAGATGATTGCAACGTGACAATTATGTAATTGGCGTCGGCTCGCGCGGTTCAAGCTCCATCCATTGCTAACTTCAGTGGCGAGGACACGGTCCTGCCCCTGCTAAACTTCACCAACCCGTTAACGGTCAGTGTGTTGAAATATGGTCAAGCAGTATGCATGGTCGACACAGCCTTCATCCAGCAGTGAATTGACAAAAGGTTTTAAAGCGTTGTTACCATCGTTCAGCTTTAATTCAATCTCATACAGTAGGACATAAGTACTCCCAGGTGTGCTAATGGGTTCAAATCCTAGCCATTGTCAACAAAGCCCTATCCCTTTGCGCAACAATACGGGTGAATAACGGCAGTATTAGTCCCAGTATAACCCGTAAAAGAGAGTCTACACATCATCGGTTCAGGGGCAGCATTGGAGAGGAGCAAACCACAATGCTGCTGGTGTTGGGGAGGTGCTGCCCTGTTTTCTTTTCATCATCACTTTCACAAGATCGTTATCCGGGTTCATAATCATGGGAATAAGCGTGCACCGCTGGTTTGTGTGAAGGCCACCACGCCGGCGTTAATAATGAGTTGATAAAGCATTGAAAATTGCTAATAATGGCACGGCAGTGCGCCAAACGCGACAACTCCGTACCCTGTAAACGTACGAGTCCGTGCGACGATAACTTTACCTAAAACAATAACAGTTCATCGCCTGGTGAAGGCCTCCCCACACTGCGTTGGTCCTGGGGGTCACATGATCGCCACCATGCCGGTCCGCGTGAGTTGATGAAGGAGGGCGAGGAGGTACAGGGCAAGAGCGGTCCAAGATATCACTCACCGCTGACGCTAACCGTGGCAAGGAATTGAACTCAGATCGCCGAATTCATCGTGCAGTTTCACTAACCACTGCGCCACCACTCCACCATCGACATTATATTAACTAAACTAGCCCAAACCGTTTTGAGCAAATCAACGTGTGAATGTGATAACGAAGATAAAGATCTCCCGCGTAGCATTAAAATAATTTTGGAGCAAGTGTTGTAAGCGAGCATCTCTGAAGGCCGGCACGACGCACGGCAGGCCGCCTTTGTTTCCCAAGTTAGTTTCGATGTTTACAAACTGCACTTGAGACCTAGGGGAAGCCCAGGACCGGTTCAGATCATAGTCACTTGTGTTGGTGGCCACGAGCAGGACTCTAATTCAGGTTGGCGGGTTTCGTCGCGCAGCGTGCTAACTGCTCCACTACCGCTCCCCACGCGCACATTGACTAGCGCACACGCACGCAGACAAAGACGAGTATGCCCTGTGTAACCTACACAGGCTGTTGGCGTAGGTGCTGTTAGTGAGCGCCTATGAAGGCTGGCAGGCGACACGAAGGGGGTTGTGGTTTGGCCGACATCCACGCCCGGCCAAGATGCCCACGAGGTTGGATCGAGAACTTACCATGACGCATTTAGAATGTACGATCTCTGTTGGTCAAAGAAAAGGTCAAATATTTATTTTACGAAATCACTGCAATCGTACGGATAGAGTTCATTATGCAAAACGCACTCCAACCGTCAATTTCAAACAAACATTACACGCTGAGGGTTGTTTGACAAAATGATTTTAGGAGCAATGTTTTGAGGCAATGCCATTTTTGCAACAACAAAAAAAGGTTAACAGATTTCGGCATGAGTAATTGCCTAAAATATGAATGCTATTTTTCCCTAAATATTTAATCAGCGTATGGCTGAGGCAATTTCATTTTTTTTCTAAATGAGTAAATATACCTTCCATTTGTAATATATTTTGTGAACGTAAAAAAGCGATTGGGGAGACCGTCATCATAAACTCTATTGTTTCCACCAGCGGTGCTTCTTAGCCTGGGGTGCACTCTGCGAGATGCCCTTTCTTGGGGGTGCGAGACACGGCCAGATTTTGTTTAGAAGATAAATAATCGAAAACACAAATTTAAGCACGGGCACGTGGGCACAACTACTTCGTTTCATCAAACCGCTAAGTATTTATTAATATTATACCTTTTTTTTTAAACGATTGAGGACCAAAGGGGCACAAGGCTACAGTAAAGGTTAAGAACCACTGGGTTAGAGCAATGCAATAAAATTTTACAGCTGAGCCCCCCCCCACCGCTGCCCCCATCGTAAGCTCATTTCACTCATGTACGCCGCACCTTTATTAATTTCCTGTCAGAGCCGGCCAGTTTAATAAACCTCGTAATCTGCAGCTGCTGGCACGCACGCGTCGTCGTAATCCAGCGTGCGCCGTTCTCCCAACAACGACGACAACAACAACGACGGGACTCGTGGCTTACCCCCGCAGTTTACATTTTTTTGTTGTTGTTAAAACAACGCGTTTAGAAAATTTGGCGACCATCGATTCGCAGAAACGAGTTCGCTTTGCCCGAGCGAAAAGGACCGCGAATAAAAGGATGCGAACACAATGGAGCGATTACGCGTGCAGCGTAATTGGCGGATTAGCAGAGGCGCCCCCTTTAATGCAGTAATGTATCATTTCACACTGGGATGGAGATAAAGTGCGGCTTAAAGTGGCGTTGAGAAGGCGCATTGGGGAATATTCCAGGAACCCGAAGGGCAATGCCAACACCACTACACTCACGCCAGCAGCTGGCCCATTACATTTTTTAATGCATACAGTAGGAAAAAAGCTGTCTGAAAAGGGAACATGAAAAGCGAACGCACTCCTTCCTGCAAACTCCGGGTTAATGCGTTTCTTCTGTGAGAACTGTGCTCAGTCCCATGTGAATTCAGTCCCATCCAAGCCGATTTGCAAGGAGTGAGTGTCTGTGCATGAGAATGTGGGTCGTGTTAATACTAGCAACAAAAAAAGGTCGGTAAGCTATTCAAATGACTGTGTTTATATATATTTTAAATCTGTGACTGCATGAAACCACGTTCATTTCAACAATTTTCTTATTTCATGACAAAATGTGGTGTCCTTTTGGGACTGAATGAGAGTGATTCCATAAAAAAATACTCCTGCAAAGGCATTGCAGCCGTGTCAATGCGTCGTTACGACAATTAATACACCCTGATTCTTAAGCTCATACATTGCATCACGTGTGCAAGGATTGATGGGGGGTTATTGTTTACATTCGTGTGGGGAGTGGTGGCACACCTCGATGGTGTAGTGGTTAGCGCACGCCACTCGATGAAGCCGATGATACGAGTTCAAATCACGCTCAGAATCTTGATTTATCCTGGAGAAATCCGATGAACTATGACGGTCTTTTTCACAGATGTCCAGTAGGGGGGGGGGGGTCTGAAAATGACATGAACAAAAGATACAGAAGAACGATTGGAGTGCGAAGAAAATCACTTGGTAAAGGCCACTGTGCAATCGGTTCTTTTTAATAAGCGACCTGGCCACAGATGATGGCTCACCGAAGTGGCGTGTCACCAGTGACGATTATTTGAACCGGTTCTGAGCCTCACCTTTGAGCTCTTGTCAAATGAGCTGCAGTACAACGAGACTCATTCGCAGATCGGCCCCGTTACCTCCACGGGGAACGTCGTTCGGTGCACCGATGGTGCGAGCAATATGACCTCGACGTGTGCACACGACAGCCCACGAACGCAAGGGTTGAGCTTCGTCTCCATAGCCACGGAAGGGCAACCCCATTATCTGCTGCACAGTGCTGCAGTGAGAGCGGTCGTTACATAATGGGCACCAAAGCACGCTCAGTGAGACGACCACTCACAAGCCCAGCAACCAACGCAATGTACGCCCCTGAACCCACAACCGATGCGACTGCTGCCGGTTACAATATCAGGGGAGGGCACGAGCTCTTCGATTGTGCCGCGTGCACGCGAGACAAACGCAGTCGCTTAAGAACCGGGGTGCCTGGCATTGGCGGTGTTGTAGCGCTGGTTTAATAAAAGCCCTGCTAGTCGCGGGCAGATTGCCAGTTCTTTGCAGTACACGCATTCAGTGCAGACAATTGGAATCCTCTGGAACACCAGTGGCTATTGTTCTCGCGAGAACAATAGCCACTGGATGGATCATTAATTACTGTATCAAATGGGCGGGAGCAGTTGCCCGATAGAAAAAAGGTTTCAGCGATAACAATGCTGACACTATTTATAGTCCATTAGGAATTGCTTCCATTACTTTCTGTATTATATCTATGCACTGCATGTGTGTGTGTATACGTATTGATGAGTATGTGCATGTCGAGAGTGTTTTCAGTGTGTGCGTGCATTGATCAGGAGCGGTAGTGCCGTAGTTAGCGCACTGTCCTATGAACTTGGCGACCTCAGTTTGTGATTCCCAGCCATGGCTAACATCAGTGGCGAGTGATGCCTGAACCCTTACCGGGCGCGCCCCCTTTTGCCAACCCGCACTGACCAGCGTGGTGAAGTATGGTCAAGCAAGCTGTCGAGACTGGCAGTAGCGGGCAGAGGCTTCGCCCAGCAGGGGATTGTCAAAATGCTACGCAATTATTTTGGGCCACCATTTTCACAATTGTATCATGAAATAATGACGTGAGGTTTCACGCCGCACGGCGAGATGACGACACGGCCCGGGTGAGACGAGCGGCAGAATGGCTACCAAAGGAAATAACGCATCCGAGTGGAGATGGTGGCATACGATTAGGGTTAACTTCCTCGCCTGGTATGCAGGATGTTGTAGGTTCGACCCTGACGACGCCTAAACGTTCTCTCCCCGTGGTCGCGTGGATTCATCTTCGGGTCTTCCAGTTCCCCCCACCCCACACACTTAGAACCAATATCACGCGGTCAGAGTATTTGACTGTTATACATTTGCACGTGATAAGCCACTTCGTTGAGCTATCATTTTGTGGCCAGGTCGCTTCTGAAAAAGAGGTACATAGCTCAGTGAGCCTTAATGGTAAGATTAAAAAAATAGTTTTTAGTATTGAAGCCGACCATTCATTATTTACACGATTGTTCACTTGCATTATACTCACAGACTCACGAGTTTGTGAGTTTTCCCTTCGAGGATACTCATTTAATTAAAACACTGTCAACTGAATACCGTATGTTTGGTATCTACGTAAAAATACTGGGTTTTAATTTCACTAATGACATCCTATAATACACATTGTGGGATGTTATTTCTACCAACGACTTTAGCTCAAAGTCATAAAACAATCCTTAAATAATCTTTTAGTAAATTGGATTACAATTATCAATGATGACAATAATGATGATTATTATGGGGATGGTAAAATAATTTGAGAATTTAAGTAGGAATAAGGCATACAATAGTGGAGGGAGGGCGATGGCGCAATGGTTAGTTCACTGCGCTACGAACCAGGCCACCTGGAGTTTGATTCCTGTGGCCAGTAAAATTCACTAAGGTGGCCAGTGAAATGTGAACTGGTCTGGCCCATTCTCCTTCAAACAAACCTGCACTGACCAGCATAGTGAAGTATGGCCAAGCAACCTGCCTGATTGATGTGGAAAGGAAAGGCCTTCATCCACCAGTGGCTTAAGAAAGAGCTGACGTTCAATTTTATTTTTCAAGGCATAAGAACTGTAACAATACGATAACAAGGCAATACAACACAGTGCAGCATTAATATATTATAAAAACCCGGTGTTCCGTTTGTCCATCAACTAAATTATAAGATCCTCTCGGAAGGCCTGAATCAAAAGTTTTAGAAAGTGGACCCCTCCCAAGATGTGGGAGTAAAAAGTTGATCCAACACGTTTTATTTCGTAGGCATATATACCTACACACCCTACATCCAATAGTCCGTTGTATCTGCACACATTGTGGGGGGGGGGGACATCAGTGGGGTCAAACGGGCGATGGGCGAAGGGCAAAGCGCCGAGTAGCAGCCGCGGGCCACCGATATTGTAGTGTACATGAATTACAATCATGACGTAATTTACATTTTTGTCTTGAGCCAACTTGACGAAACATCAACGGAGGGAAGCCAACGTAATACAGCCCACATGCTAACACACAGGCAGTGTAATGCCAGCATATGACTTTCAGGTGGAACGTGGTGACTTCGATATCATGTGAATGCCAATACTGTCACCCGAATATTGATAAATAACCAACCTACCTTGCAGTCCATGAAACAAATAAAATCAATGTGTCTTACCAAGTAAAAAATCAATACGTGAGCTCCACCAAAGCATTCCAAATTCAACAGTTAGAATTGTAACGAGGGCTTTGTATGAAAACGGCTTTGAAGGCGCTCGCTCGCTTGCTCGCGTTTCGATTCAAAGTCATCAGCAGTGTCCACGTCGCCTCGCACGGCAGGGAAGATCTCGAGTGAATTTCAAACGTGAGCCGCATTTTGTTTGCGTTGCTTGCGAAACTTTCAGCAGAAGCAGCGACGGCGTCAGCGGCCATGCAGGACCCGGACAAGCAGCAGGGCTCACTGGCGTGGGGCGCGCGTGAGATCGCCCGCCACGTGAAGAAGCAGGCGGCGCGCGGCACGGACCGCGTGCAGGATGAGCACACGCGGCGCTCCTACTCACGCTTCGACGACGAGGACGACGAGGAGGCCGGTGACGCCGGGGTGGGACGCGGAGCCGCGGGGTCCCCCACGGGCCGCGCCGGGGAGAGCGAGGGCTCCAGCGAGGCCACGGAGGGGCACGACGAGGAGGACGAGGTCTACGAGGGGGAGTACCAGGGGGTCCCCGCCGCGGGGAAATCGGGCCACGCGACGGCGTGGGAGAACGTAAGCCACAAAGACACACGTCGTCACATCACATCACACCACACATAGACACGTCGTCACACCACACATACACACGTCATCACATCACACCACACATAGACACGTCGTCACATCACACATACACACGTCGTCACATCACACATACACACGTCATCACATCACACATAGACACGTCATCACATCACACCACACATAGACACGTCGTCACATCACACATAGACACGTCATCACATCACACCACACATAGACACGTCGTCACATCACACATACACACGTCATCACACCACACATACACACGTCATCACATCACATCACACATACACACGTCGTCACATCACACACACACACGTCATCACATCACATCACACATACACACGTCATCACACCACACATACACACGTCATCACATCACATCACACCACACATAGACACGTCGTCACATCACATCACACACACACACACGTCATCACATCACACATACACGTCGTCACATCACATCACACATACACACGTCGTCACATCACACCACACATAGACACGTCGTCACATCACACAGACACATCGTCACATCACACCACACACACACACACCATCACATCACACATACACGTCGTCACATCACATCACACACACGACGTCACATCACACCACACACACACACGACGTCACATCACACCACACATACACGTCGTCACATCACATCACACCACACATACACGTCGTCACATCACATCACATCATACACACGACATGCAAAGAGAGTCTCGCCGCATCGCGCGCTTTCGGATGCGCTTCTGGGGCCGTCTGCAATGCTCTTCCTTCCGATGTTTGGAGGCCACTGGGACTATGCACCTTTACATTTACATGGAAAACTCATTTCTTTAAAACCGCTTTTTGTGTTTAGTTGGATGTCCTTCCCCCGCACCTCCGATTAGCACGGTTGGCTATGTATGGTGCGAAAGAAGTTCAACGTACACACGACATGCGGTGTGCATACCCACATTTACACACACACACGAATATGGGACACTATTGTGCAAAGTGGAACCAATTGAAAGGGCAATAAAAACAACCCCAACGGACGTATTTTCCACGCAGTTTGTATTGTCTGGGCACCGTGCAAAGTTGACTTGCAAAGATGGGGCACAACAGTGGCTCATCACAACCGTGAATCATCGTTGATGCCAAAGGTCCAAAATGTACCCTTTTTTAAATCTGAACACATCACAGGATGTGCAGTTCGTGCGTTGGATGTCACGCACCCATGAAGTGCGTGATGGGGAGTATAGAGTATGTGGCAATTCCAATTGTTTTTATTATTTTGCCATGATCACCACCGTCTTTATATTGGAACCACAGAGTTGGCTCAATAAAATGGAAAAAAAGCACTAACCGATCTGGACACGCATGCGGCGCTCTTTAGGCACACGTGGAAGTTATTTGTGCGTGTCCGTCTATCAAATGTGATAACAAAATTGTCGGGTGGATTTTCTCTATCAGTACCGAATTCCAAAGAGCCGACTTAGCCTCAAATGAGTACCTGGTGTGGTGTCTAAACATCGCCACTCGAGAGACAAAGGCGGCCGGGCGCGGTGCTGGTCACCCACCCCCCCCCCCCCCCTCGTGTGCCATTCCGACCTCCCGTAGATCCTTCCCGAAAAAAAGTTCAACATACACACGTTGCTCGCCAACAGCGCTTGCCCCAACAGTCTGTTAAGGCTACGCTGGGGGCAAGCCAAGGAACCTTTGCCTTCTTTGTGTGTTTGCAGGATGTGCGTAAGACGGGCTGGGAGGGCGAGGCGGAGCGCGTGAGCGAGCTGGAGGAGCTCGCGCAGCAGTACGAGGTCATCCTGCAAGAATGCGGCCACGGTCGCTTCCAGTGGCGCCTCTTCTTCTCGCTGGGCCTGGCGCTCATGGCCGACGGCGTGGAGATGTTCGTGGTCGGCTTCGTGCTGCCTAGTGCCGAGCGCGACGTCTGTTACAGTCGCGAGAACAAAGGCTGGCTCGGTGCGAGCAACCCCCCCTCCCCGCCACCCCGCCACCCCGGAATCCCACGCGAAGTTAAAATGACATCAACAACTCTTTGGTTCTTTCGGTGAAGTCACTGTAGGTATGAAAAAAATAAAATAAATCAGGACGTTTCGATTGCAACACAAGCAATCATCAGTAGGTAGAGGAAACACATAACCGCAGAGATATATAAAGACCTTAAGTAGAGGGAATTAACACAGATATACCAGGGGATACAGAGAGACAGAGCATCACACTAAATCAAACAGGGTTTAACAAAATTTGGAACCTATGTAAAGCAACACAGACGGTCGGTTAAAACACAATTAACGCATGGTATGGTTGAATACACTATTTCAAAGATTGTTAAATTGTAAGTTGAGTGTGAAATTTAAGATAGTGATAGAATACATACATACATCAGGTGGGAAAACCACAGCAATATATTATTTTTGCTGAAGTGGGAGTCACCTACGTGACTTTACCGAAAGAACCAAAGAGTATGGATTCCTGCAGTGATGACAGCTTCACATCTAGATGTCATCAACAGTCGATGGGGTGGAGCGGTTGGTGCAGTGGTCGGCATGCCGCGCCATGAACTCAGCGACCTGGCCGCTATTCCAGGCCGCGACTCATGTCAGTGGCAATGATATCAGAGCCGGTGCTGAAACCCCCGGTTGCACCAGCGCAGTGAAGAATTACCAATATAATAAGCCAAGAATGTGCGTGTCCCGCACGTGACGTCACTCCACATGAGCCCCCCCCCCCACCCCGTCATTAATAATTATGAGCGGGTAACGTCACTCCACATGGGGTACCCCTCTCATTCATAATCATGAGCGGATGAGGTGAGACACCCCCCCCCTCATTAATCATTAGCGGGTGACGTCACTCCACAAGGGGCACCCGCCCTCATTAATAATCATGAGCGGATGACGGAACTCCACATGGAGCTCCCCCCCCCTCATAAATAATCATAAGCTGATGACGTCACTCATGTGGACCCCGCCTCCACCCCCTCGTTAATAATCATGAGCGGGTAATTATTTTCTATTGAATATTTCAGATTGACTGCAATATCCACACGTCTTTGGACGGGCTATAGGCTAGTAACCAAACGAACTTCGTGACTGACATGGCGTGCAGACGCCTTTGACTGGCAAAGATAGTTATTTATCATTAATATTCAAAGGTCAAAAGTTAAACTCTTTTTCCCTTGATCAAATGACCACGGATCAATGTTCATCTCCATTAGTGGTCTTGATCCAGTAGTGGAAACTCCACATTTGTATGGCAGGAGTCATTCACACCACATGAGGTTGGCTACGTAGAGTGCGAAAGAAGTTCAACAAACATACACAGGACAACTCCTTCTGCTTGGTGCTTTCGGTAAAGTCACGTAGAATGAGAATAAAATAATAAAATAAAATAAGACAATAAAATTCTCACGACGTTTCGGCCACAACACAAGTAGCCTTCATCAGGTGAAATAACAGAACTGTCGGGACGACATTGCTTCAATGAGCGTTGCTAAGATTCGTAGCGTCTTTTAAGCTCGGTGAGAGGCGTGAAACGTCTTAACAAAGGAGTTTACGTATCAAAGCAGGAGAATTTAGCATTGAAATAGCTGAGGGATTAGCTTGTGACAGAAATAGCTATGTTAAAGTCAAAGTTTACCTATCAACAGAGGCATTTAGTATATGGACGCTAAAGGCCTCCAACTACCCAACTATCATACAGTAAACCGATGTGAAAAAACCAAGTCTATATTACATCAATATAATAAATGTACTTAATATATTCTTCAATAAGCTGAGCTATTAATCACAAAGCAACTGGGTATACACTACACTATATAATGAAAACCACATAGCAAACCAATAAAAAATAAAAATATATACTACAACAATGTTATCAATAAACTCTATATACTCTCCAATCAGCTGAGCAACACAACAATAAGTCGTTATATATCACAATGCCATATGGCATTATTGTTGTGTTGCTCAGGGGATTAGAGAGTATATAGAGTTTATTGATAACATTGTGGTAGTATATATTTTAGTTTTTTATTGGTTTACAATATGGTTTCCATTATATAGTGTAGTGTATACCCAGTTGCTTTGTGATTAATAGCTCAGCTTATTGAAGAATATATTAAGTACATTTATTATATTGATGTAATATAGACTTGATTTTTTCACATCGGTTTACTGTATGATAGTTGGGTAGTTGGAGGCCTTTAGCGTCCATATACTAAATGCCTCTGTTGATAGGTAAACTTTGACTTTAACATAGCTATTTCTGTCACAAGCTAATCCCTCAGCTATTTCAATGCTAAATTCTCCTGCTTTGATACTTAAACTCATTTGTCAAAACGTTTCACGCCTCTCACCGAGCTTAAAAGACGCTACGAATCTTAGCAACGCTCATTGAAGCACTGTCGTCCCGACAGTTCTGTTCTTTCACCTGATGAAGGCTACTTGTGTTGTGGCCGAAACGTCGCGAGAATTTTATTGTCTTATTTTATTTTATTATTTTATTCTCATTCTACGTGACTTTACTGAAAGTACCAAAGAAGATGAATCCTTGCGGTTACGAAAGCTTTAAATCGAAAAGGACAACTCTTGTTGACTTTGTACAAAATTTGTACGAATGTATAAACAACTCCTGAAATTAATAACGACGTTACATACATTACATCTAATTTTGAATCCAGGAAAGCCTCAATGAGTCTGAGGACATTTTTTTTATTATCGGGAGGGTGCTGCATTGGAATATATATTATTCCTTAAATGTTGGTACAGCAGTAGGTTACAAATTGTGAGATCTTGAGTTCAAATCCCAACCAGGATTGACCCAGGCCTCACCGCCATCACCCCCGCCCCCCCTCTGCATGGAGTCAGTGACATGAGCACCACCTGCTGGGACTGTGCCATTTATTCCACGTGCCAAGACAAGCGAGCACTCTCCTCGGTAACTGCAGTAGCGCCGATTTCTTTATACGAGCAATCTAGGTGTGAATTGTGATGACAGTGTAAAATGATTAAGTTATCATACTCTTTGGTTATTTCGGTAAAGTCACGTAGGTAGAAAAATAAATAAAATAAAACAAAAAATAACATATCACGACGCTTTGATCGCAACACAAGCGGTCGTACTCAGGCGGAAAAAAAATAATCCAGCAGTGGAATTAATCTCCCTCTCCCTAATCTCCCCCATGAACACAACTGACGTGCTTGCGTCCGGGGATGGAATTCCTTTCCAGCTCAGACCCCGCTTGCTTGCCCATCGCCACATAAATAACCTCCTTGTTGTAACTGCTCTCTCGCTGGTTCAGCAATTCCACTGCTGGATTACTTTTTTCCGCCAGAGGACGACCGCTTGTGTTGCGATCGAAACGTCGTGATTTATATTTTTTTCTACCTCCGTGACTTTACCGAAAGAACCAAAGAGTATGGATTCCTGCAGTCACGATAGCTTCAAATGAAGTTATCATGTGATAAAAAAAAACAAATTTAATTGGTCCTTTAAAATGTTTTACTTACCACCACAAAAGTTGTGCCACCTTGAGTGATACTGGACAGCTGCTCTGGCCCATGGACTGTCAGCGAGTTATTCTCCATCGGCCCGCGGGAATGTTGGAGTCTCCACCACGCGCTCACTCGACACTTCACGACAGCTTCAGTGACCGCACACCAGTTATAAATGTATGTGGTGTGAGCTGGGAAGCCAGTCTATTAAGGGGGTTTTGACCACACAACGAAATGTGGTTGCGTGAAAATTCACAAATGGATGTGTGTCAGCTGCACGCTAACACCCACGCACTCGGATATTTACACCAATTGTACAGCTGGTGCGTAGCATGTCAAATTGTTAATTTAAACTGCCGATCTTCTCCAAGCATTTTTTTCGGAGGTTTGTATCGGTAAGCCGCCTCAGTAGGGTTCACAGCTTTGTCCTAACGTGGAGTTATGAGTTTCCAAACGCATGAGGGTCCCTTGGACAGACATACGGACAGAAGGAAGGACAGACATAATATTTCCTAGGCATAGCAATGATTAGCTAGCGGCTCCTTGAAAAAAAATAGAAAAATGTCACCAGAGCCAGTATTACGTAAAAGGAACCCATGTAAAGGTCTCGATAGAATATGCGATAAATGGCCAAATATGGCAAGCGATGTGAGAACGCCGTCATCATCAGCAGCCGTGGTCAATCAACTGCTGCATGAAGGCCTCTGCAAGTCGTCGCCATCTCCCGCGATCCCTGCGCTGTGACCATCCACCGGCACATGCAGACGAGCTGATTTCATCTCGTCTTACTAACCCTGGGATCGGCCCAATATCGGGCCACAATGCGATGGTGAAAGCCTGCTTCATACAAATCAGTGCTTCTCAGTTACAGTCCTCACGACCCACAATCATCCGCGCTCACCAGTCTTTCCTAATCGGTGTGTAAATCGAGTGGTGTGTAAATCGAGCGATGTGTAAATCAAGCGACTGCACCGCTACCTTGTGGCTTACGAGGATGAAACCGGTCACTCTTGCTGCCGCCTGTCATTCCGACACAATTGAAGCAATTGGCGGGACCCCGGGGTCCCATCACTGCCCCGGGGTGGGAAAAACCGCGTAGCGACACGAGTCTTGTTGCCTTACCGACAACAAAACTAGTGGTCAATCGATTGGCCTCGTCGAGAGCTACTCGGGGCACTAAGTTTCGTAAAAAGTTGAAAAATTACATAAACACGTTAAATTCACCGCCTGGGGGGGGGGGGGGGGGGCGGGCTCGCCTTGGCAAAGAAGCTGAGGATCGACGGCTGACCGGAGGGCGTTGTCGCCGCGCGCGACTGCGGCGGACGCCCCCCCCGGGGCTCGCGTTTGGCCGGTGGGGTGGCGCCCATCGTGTTGATTGCCGCATGCTGGCGCTTGTTGGTGCGAGTCTGGGCGGGCGGCGCGTTGCTGTCGGGATCACGTAGTGGGCGGACTGAAAAATAATAATTATTGACCTGATTTGTATGGGACCCCGGGGTCCCGCCAAATGATTCATTTGCTCAAATGTATTTAGACGGTGACCTAAGACTAGAGGAGCACAATGCAGTTCCTCAGGAACTGCTCCTGGTGTTGTTTTTGCGTAATGCACAAAGGCCTCGTGCTTTGTGTGTGTGTGCTTAGTTTGGTTGTCCTTCCCCCGCACCTCCGATCAGCACGGTTGGCCACGTACGGAGAGAAAGAAGTTCAACGTGCGTGCGTCCATACATCGTGCGCGTTTGCGCGTATTGTTTTGAAACTTGTGGCTGATAATTGCAGAAGGCTGTGCCGCATGCGTGTGAGGGACAGCGGGGGGAGGGGGCAGGGGGGGGTCATGAGGACAGGGAGGTCACGAGGTCACGAGGTCACGAGGACAGGGAGGTCACGAGGACAGGGAGGTCACGAGGTCAGGGAGTTGAGAAGCACCGATGTCAATGTTTCGATGCTCTCGGCATCAGCTCTTAGGAGCTCCTAGTACGCTCTGCTAAAAAAAAAAATGTGCTCACAACGCACAATAAGGTATTTAGCTGGCTAGTTTATAGTTTATACGGTGACGTTAGGGCTAGGGTCATTGGGTAATAACCGAGTAAATTAAAGCATAGCGTTTGACCCTTGGCAGAATAGCTATGATCGTATGTAAATTGAGAGAGAAGTACTGACAAGTAGAATGTCAGTTTATGCATATAGAGTGTGTGTGTGTAATAATGAAAATCGCGTGCATTCATGCATTACATGGGAATGTGGTGATTGGTGTGCATGTATTGTGTGGTTTGTGTGGGTATGTGTGGGTGGGTATGTGATATGTTGCGCGTACCTATGTAGATTTGTACGATTCAAAGTGCGTATGCGCGGAGTGACGGTGCAGTGGTGCACGCACTTCACTATGAACTTATGTTCAATTCCCACCCGTGGCTTGCATCAGTGGCGAGTGATGTCCAAACCTGCACTGTGCCTCCCCAAGGTTGACTTAACCTTAAATGAGTACTTGTTGCATTGTGTAAGCATCAACACTCGAGAGACAAAGGTGTCCGGCCATGGTGCTGGCTACGCCACCCGTTCATCTATGTGTACCATGTTGGCCTTAAGAGGTGATCACTAACATTATTTGACCCAGCAGTCTACAAAGCCTGCATGAGGATCTCTATCCCTGTGTGCAGTACTTGGAGCATTGTCGCTTGGTATGGTACTTGGTCAGCTACTAGGTACCATTGCCTATAAACTACTAAAACTAAGCTATATTCTTTTTACCAGGTAAGGCCCACTGAGCTATATAGCTCTTGGCCGTTGTTTAAACGCATGTTTTTTTTTAAATGTGGAAGGGAAAACCGGAGGTCCCCGGAGAAAAATCCACGTGACCACGGGGAGAGAGACACGCAAACTCCAAATACTGTATACAGCTGTCAGGGTCGCGATCAAACCCACAACCTCATGTATGCCAGGCGACGTTGTTAACATCTCTCCACCATGGTGCCCTAAAGAGAAGTGGAGTATATTTGTCCTGTACTACCTATAAAGCTGAGTGGATTATATTTGCATTTGGTGCACGTGCGTGCGTGCACAACAGGCGGTTTCGTGTACGTGGGGATGATGATCGGGGCGCTGCTCTGGGGCGGCCTGGCCGACCACATGGGCCGGAGGCAGATCCTCCTCGTCTCCCTCTCCTTCAACGGATTCTTCTCCTGCCTCTCCTCCTTCGTGCAGGGCTACGGTGCCTTCCTCTTCTGCCGGTTCCTCTGCGGGATCGGGTGAGAGCCTCATGTGGACCATGGTTTATGATTGCAATTTTTTGTAATAAAAAAAAAGTTGGTTTTTATTATTACAACTCAACGCGAGCCCGGTACAAAACGCCGATCACAGAATGGAGGGGGGACATCAACTCAGCGGCCACGAAAGGTGACCAACGAAGGGGGGCGGGGGGTGGTGGACGGGGTATTGTGCTCGCTGCCCCATCCAGGTGGAGACAATGAGCAGGGGAAATGAAGATTTATATGGGGAGGGGAAAAGGGTAAGATAGCTAACATACTGGGGGGGGATAACGGGGCCGAGGGAGTGAGGAAGGGGAGGGAGGAATTGGGGGGGAGAGGAGAGGGGGGTTATGGTTGCATTTTAACAATGTCCACCCGTCCAAAGGGGGCCCACTTAGTCACTCAGCCATCAGCTCGTGCGATCGACTTTTATTGTCGCTGCCGGCACGATGTTAGTGGTGGGACGACCCTTCGTTTTCACCCGTTGACATTGAGTGTTGAGTATAGGTCAGTTGCTTCGAAATGACGCGTGTAAGAATCAACGTTTAAAATATATATTTTGTTTGTTGAATCAATTTGTGACCCGGGCTCGCAACGAATAGAAACACTGTAAAATGCATGTTAACTTACACGTACGTGTCATTGTGGGTAAATTGCTGACATGTCGCTTCATCGGTACATTTTCACGCTTCTGTTGTTGCACCTTTTGAATCCCAGCCACGATCAACTCAGTCGTTCACCTGCAGGAGGCATTAAAACAAATGTGCGGTTGAATTAAATAAACAGATTTGGAGTTGTTTCACCTTGAATGCATGCATTTGTGTCAAGCACTCAGGTTTCCTCATATCCACAACAAAAATATTAAGAAACATTCCAAGAAGTACCTTCGTGATGAGAATATTGAGATTCAGCGACATTTGCTGAGCATACATAATTTTGATTGGATATTTTAATGTCTCAGATTTGTTTATTACATGGTTAACATCAATAAACACTTTTCTGGTAAATTAATAGAAACTATTGAATAACTTTGACAAAGCAGGTTGCAATGCTGGGCTGAAGATAAATATGAGCAAAGCAAAATTTACGTACAACATGATTGGGAAAAATTTTACACAATTGTGGAAGTAACACAACTGGAATTCATATACCCACCACGATATGTCATTACCGAAGTTTCTACTGCGGCACGAAAACTCTACGTGTTTTTTTGGAGAAACTCTTGAACGATTAAAAAAACGTATCAGGAGTGTGCTCCATGAAAAAAAAAAGTTCCCGTATAAACCAGCTGTGTGTGTATAAACAATGTGAATAAAACAGAACGGCGACATTCATAGGCGATGTTTTGTGCCGCACCTGAGCTGGATTTACGTATTTCAGAAGATCGGAGCCATGTGCACCCACTCAATGTGTGTGAGGGTTCAATGCAAAATGTCACACCACGTGGAACCACATCAAGCGGCAGCCACCGAGAACAGCGGAGTGGATGACGACTTAATGATCAGTATCATGAAACAAAAGTCATTGGGGTTTTTTTTTTCACACGAAAGATCGTACTTGCCAAGTTTTTAATTAATCACATTTCCAGTGCATTTCCTAAAACTCAGTAGCTCCTCTTCTTGGCAGTCTAACGTTTGCCAGAACTATGATTGACTGCGTGTGCTTAAAACTTTGTAATGCGGTGTAATTCAATTCTACACATATCATGGGTTGTCTCAGAATATACAACCCAATATTATTAGCATCCCCTCTTGGCCGCCAAATTTCCTCACCGTGCTTGCCAAATCTGTACAGAAGAAGAGCGTTTGCTACGCGCCTCTCTGGAAAACACACACTTTTTTTTGTCATACTTCGTTTTGATCAAGTGTTTTTTAATCCGACCTTTGAAAATGTATTTCCCGGACCCCATTCTCTGGCAACTCGGTCGCGATTTCGTTTAACCGAGGTAAAACTCAAGAGACACGGATAGTCTCGTTGCCAATGGTGGCCTCGGTTGCTTGCAATTGCTCAGTGGAGGTTTTTTATTCTTGGTTGTTTCGGTAAAGTCACCACGTAGAAGGGAAACAATAAAATAATACAAATATAAAACAATAAAATTCTCACGGCGTTTCGACTGCAACACAAGCAATCATCATCAGGTGTGAAAACCACAGCAGGAAAATTTTAAGAAAAAAAAAACTGCCACTTTTTTCAAATATTCTTGCTGTGGTTTTCACACCTGATGATGATTGCTTGTGTTGCAGTCGAAACGTCGTGAGAATATTATTGTTTAATATTTGTATTATTTTATTGTTTCCCTTCTACATGGTGACTTTACCGAAAGAACCAAGAATATGAATCCCTGCAGTCACGAAAGCTTTAAATCAAAATTCAGTTGAGGTTTGTTATTTATCTTACCAGGTAATGCCCTCTGAGCTATGTAGCGCTTTTTCAGAACCGACCTGGCCACAAATGATAGCTCAACGACGTGGCTTTTCACGTGGGCATGTATAGCAGCCAAATACTCCGCACGTACAACTCTAAATTTTGAGGAGAAAAGTGGGGGACCCGGAAAAAAATCCACGTGACCACGGTGAGGGAGACATGCAAATTCCAAATATACAGGCGTCAGGGCCGGGATCCAACCTATGCCTTCCTGTATACCAGGCGAGGTAGTTAACATCTCAGTTGCGTCACGCATTAACGGTGTACGTGGATGATCGTGTACCCTATGCGTGAGCAGTGCGCTTGTACACATCTAGGCAGTAGAGCAAATAGGATGCGGATGTGCTTGTGCAGTTTGTGAATGTTGTTGTCTCATATCCGTGGGTTTTCTTGAGGTACCGTGGGCTTCCTCTCACGCTCAAATTGTGCCCATTAAGGAAGTGGCCAATTGTCCCAAGCGGCAACCTTCTGAACGAGCCTTCAAAGTCAGTTGATGCTTTACATGAATACTTTATAATAGTCAGAGAGCCTGCATATTTTAAAGGAATGGTTTTGGAGTTACTCATCTCCATTGGTCAATCCGAAGCCTGAAGTACAAATTCCGCATTCATATGGCAGGGGGCCAGCCTTCCCACAAGACGAGGTGAAGAACGGGAACGTAACAAAGTCCTGATTCGTCGGTTAAAATAATGTCTTACGCTCACGACACACGCATCAAATTGCATTGAACATACGTAACTAGTTCAGTTCAGGTAAATCCCGCAGCCAACAGATGCACTACAGTAACCACGATTCATAACCCCAAATTGTGGCAATTCATTGAATTGTGGCGGGGGGGGGGGGATGAACTGTTACTTTGCCCAGTAAATAAAGGGCAGGGGGTGTAGTGGTGGCGCAGCTGTTCGTGCACTGCTCCGAGAACTTGACGACCCGAGTTCGATTTCCAGCCATGGCTAATGTCAGTGACGAGTGATATCTGAACCAGTTCTTAGCTCCCACCCCCATTTACCAACTCACCCGCGCCAGCGTGGTGAAGTAAGGCCAAGCAATAAACCGACACGACATGGACGGGCCGTCATCCAGCAGTGGATTGGCAAAGGCCTGGCTGTATTTTATCGTTGCTTACATAACTACAAAATTAAGAGCGCAGTAGTTCTTGAATAAAAAAAAAACTTGGAACAGAATCCTTGAGTGCACCATCTTCTACAATGATGTCTGCCCACAGTTTGCTGTACAACTCTTTGCTGTGTCTTTGCCGCCGTTGTGCGTCGACGTTGTTTATTTCGCGCAGCATCGGCGGCGCGGCGCCGATCGTCTTCTCGTACTTTGGCGAGTTCCTGTCACGGGAGAAGCGCGGAGAGCACCTGAGCTGGCTGTGCATGTTCGGCATGATCGGCGGCATCTACGCATCCGCGATGGCCTGGGCCATCATCCCGCATTACGGTGAGTCCTGCTCGCCGTCCCCTCCAACTCTTCCCTCTTAACCTTACCATCCGGTTTCTATCTTTTTTCCCCTCTGTGCACAGCTCAGGTTCAGCATACGATTATAATACCGTGGTGATAATGAGATGGCAAAGTTGCAGCTCTGCAATTGCTTGCTCGTACGACTGCCGTCAGATGGGGCCTCTCGTAGCGGGAGTTATCGGGAGTCTTTTTTTAAAGTTTTTTTTGGCCTACTCTTCCACGCAGGCCAAACGTCGTGGAACAGGTGGGAGTGCCCGCACTATAACCCCACCGCCCGCGACCTACCGATTTGCTAAATGTAGTGACCCTATTCACACCGCTGGGTGGACAGAGGTGGGGACAGATTTAAGAAACTTATCCATTATGTCGACTACCACTTGGAAGATCAAACTGGTGCCCTCTGGAATGCAAGTCCATTGAGCTTACGATTATACAGTGGCAACATCCCCACTCATAATAATAATACCTTTTCTAAATTAATAATAATAGCACTGAGTCTGAAGACTTTTTTAATGACCGATCTGTATCGGGAGGTTTCAACAATTCCATTATTGAGTTTTGCACGCCGGAGGAAACCAGAGTACAATACTCGGAGAAACTCCACGCATACGAGGGGATAACACTCCTCAAGGTCCACGCAGATAGATTCAATCAGTTTTTTTTCACGGCCATGTGATGGCCGCCCTCCAGCTCAGCAGATTTGGATGATTGTCAACATTCGTTTCCTAAGTGCTGGGACCAGACGCTGCGCCAAACTCTCACTGCTGAACTTCAAACAACCCTGAGCGAGGAGGGCGGGGGGGGTCGCGTTGGCTGTGGGCAGTGATGCACAAATGAGTCATACGTCAAAGCGTCTCCGTGACAAAAATATAACGAGCATGAGGCAGCGCTCAACCCCCGTTGTCAGCCCTGAGGCAGGAGTGGAAATTCCACATTCCTATGGCTGGGTTCGTCTATCTATGAGAAAGCCTTTTTTGTTGACGCTCCGTGAAACATTTCCCATTTTAATTCGATTCCATCCTCATCCGGGGATTTCGTTGAGAACCTTCCGTGAGCGAGCCTGGGCGCTCGTCCGCATGTTAATGAAACGGGCGTAAACATAACACGACCACTGCCATCGTTATCAAACACTGCATGCCAGTTTAACATGAAATAATTTATTTATCAAAGCTAACATTTTGGACATTGGCCCACCTCTCTGCGCTGAAAAAAAAAGAGCCATTGCGTTTTAAGGCTGCTTTTCTGTCTTGGTGCCATTTCTTAAATTGTCTCGTCAGTTTTTATTTGGCTTGGTATTCGGGTTTTAATTTGCGTGGCAGTGGCTGTCCATGGAATTTGGTCCTTATATATAATTCATCTACAGCAATATGGGATGCTATTAGCATGAATGATGCTATATAGAATGAAAGTATTATGATTAATAGACTCTTCAACCGTGCTTACAAATGTAGTTTCTCGACGTTGAAATTGCTGTTATTTGACTGCAAAGCTTAGATTTATCAGCTATTGTTTTAAAAAGTGGCCCTGAAATAATATTTATTCAGTACCATAGAGTGTGGGTTTATATCGTGTCTTGAGCGCGACTGCATCTCATAATGCTATACAGAAACAGCGAGCGTATTAATTATGTAGAGCTAGGGGTAGTCATAGGCAGAGGGAAAATAGCAATGTCTTGAGCCTGGACTTGAACAGGAGTAAGTCGCAGGGGCAAAGATAGCTTTGTGGACTGAGTGCAACTATAGCGGAGATCTAGAAGCGAGTTTCCCCTGGCGGCAGGCATGCTCAAGGCCAAAATAAACAGCACTTTAAAATCCATTAACTCTCCCCGCGTCTCCTTACATTTTTCAGTGATGCACAGAAGCATTATCTGCACCTAACAACACACGGTTCTGATACTTTTTAAGTGCTCATAATGACCAAGTGGCAACATGCACATTTCTGCCCGCATTCAGATCTGCACACACACACACACAATTGTATTTATGCTATAAATATTTAACGTTCAGTACAAAGCAATCGCTCTTGTTGATATAATTTTGCTACGATTGCCTTTTTAATGGAGTGGGAATAGACACAATCAAGGCCTCCACTCTTGATAGGAGAGATATTTAATGCCACAATATAATTCATATAAGCACCGTGAATTGTGAGTTGGCAAGAAAACAAAAAAAAACTGCACACACACACACACACCTTTTGGCGTGGCCTTCGTGATGGGGGTTTTGAGTCGCAGCGCGAATGTGGACGAGTGTGCTGCGAATTGAACAAGGAAAGACTTCACCGTGTCGTGCTCCACTGTCGTGGCTGAGCGTAACTTCACGACGCGACGTCGTTGCCCGGAATTTTTGTGAAGGCAACGGCCGACCCAACGATATCCTCATTACGATCCCACGGCCTTGTTATGTACGGGCCTTTCCTAGGAAGTCAATAATTGGTCTCGGGTATTCCAAACTGGAACCCCGTGAAGGCCTTTTGAGCCTTCCCATGTCATGATGGCCGTGGAGTCTGTTTGACCACACTTCGTCCAAGCTCGTAAGTGCGGGTTGACGGGACGACCAACGAACATATACCACTCACCACGGATGTAATCATTGCTGATAAATTGATTACATGTTTCCAGGTTCTTAGTGCAGTGGGCTAACCACTGCACCACCGCTCCACCAAAAACCCAAAGCCATTCTGTCTCACTGATTAAAAACAGGCAATGGACAGTTATTGATGTCCATTGCCAGCAGTGAGTCAGTTGTGGAATTCCCACATTCGAATAGCAGGGAACAGTCTTTCTTAAGGAGACCACTGTTTCCCTACTAAAAATAAATATATAGGTATACAATAATTGATCAAATTCATGAGTGTATAGTTTTATATTTTTACACTTCAACCGAGCCACGGATGTTCAAAACAAACACTCTAAATCTGCATCGCAATCAGCCACACCTGCCCCTATAACCACAACCCGTGCAGGCTATGGTGCACACATCAGTGCTCGATCGTACGTGAACGCAACACCTGCAGAGATGCGCCAGATTCCCGCGTTGAACAAGCGCAGAAATTGGTTTGGAAGGGTCAAGGAAACAACCACGGCAATGGAGAGAATTTACAGCATGGGTTAATACGCCGCTACGTCAACATCGTCTGGTTATGCAGCCGAAGCAATGCGTCTTTGTCAGATGCGGAAACAAATGCAGGTTAATCGTGTAGTGCAAAAAAAAAAATTCCCGCACAAAAAACACGAAATTTTATTTTTTTGTCATTGGGGCCGACGCCTTGTAACGGCATGCAGAGCCGTTGACCCCGGGAGCTAACCCAGCTGGAGTTTATAACAACGTTCATCTGTGATTGCCAGGGGAAAGCCTCGCCGAATCATGAGACTCTTTTTTACGGGGGGGGGGGGGAGTCACGCATTTTAATGTATGGCCAATTCCATTGAAGGAGGGAACTAGAGGAGCCTGAAAGAAAGAAAACACCATGGGAGATAACCGCTCAAAGCTCCACACAAATGGGATTCAAGAATGAATTGCAGTGCTTCTCAAACGGTGCGAGTTGATTGTCTCAGTCTGTTCACACGTGATTTGCGCACTAAATACGGGATGTTAAATGTGGTTTTCCCTACTCGTAATCATATTTTCCTGCTCTCTGGACTAGTATATATCTAGGTTTCATCGCAATGCGATTAACATCTCTATAGCAGGGCACATTGGTCATTAGAACGCCCCTCGTTGTTAATAAGGAAAATTCAGAAATCTCAGAAGTACTTCTTTCATATCACTTTCCTGAGACCGTTCTCTGCCATGGGGGACGACGCCTCGCCGTCTGTGAGAGTACCCGAATTGATTATTCATCTCGTGGCAAGACGGCGATAGGCACAGTTGGAATATCATTTAATTGGGGAAAACGCACACACACACACAATAAAAATATATTTACAAAAAAAGTCTAACTCAGTAGAAATACACCCCCTGGATCTCCGGCCTTGAGGTTAAGCTTCAGCCTAACAAGATCCCACTGCTAAGTAAGTAAAAGTCGTGAAGCCTCAGCGAGAACCACAATCGCACTTAGCCACTCGCGCCCTCCGGCAGCAACGAACCCGCATCGCCATTCTCGTTGCGCGGGATCCAGGTGTGTGTGTGTGTGCCTACCCCCCTCCCCCCCCCTGGCGAATCTCAGCTGTTACTCCTAAACAATCCAGCAGTTAAGTCCGCGGACATCACGGCGCACGATGCACAGCCAGCATGAAGCGACACGTTGCAGAGCGAGAGATCGCTTGGGTTACACAGGAGGGGCGGCACTTCGTCACGTCGTGGTCGTGTGAGACGGGAGCACTTGTTGGCGACATCGAGAACGCGCTTTGTGCACGCGAGTGACTTGCACGCGCGTGCACAATGTACACGAGGCGCGCTGAAATTGGCGCTCTTTTCCAAAGTAAATTTTTTACTTCGTATTTAAATCAATCTCTCGGTTTTCAGTACTGGATTTTTTTTTTTCACAGAGCTGAATAAGCTTAATAAACAACATTAACTTTACTTTGGTTACTCTTTGGTTCTTTCGGTAAAAGTGCACAAATAATATGCTGTAGTGTACACTACATTCCGTCACCAGGCACTACAGTGTATTATTTGTGTACACTACAGTATATGTAGTGTACACAAATAAAAAGTATATGTAGTGTACGCTGCAGTATATCCTTAAGGTTGAATAGTGCACCTGTGCCAATTGTAAAATCCGTAACAGTTATATTTTTAGCATTCAATGTGGGTTTGATTAGAATCTCATTCCAGCGTGAGTTGTATAGTCTCCAGAGCTTAACTAAAGAATGTAACCAACTTAATAGATTTCCAAAAAAGAGTTGATGAACAGGGCCATAATGTATGATGTGTTTAAATAAAAAATCCAATTGCTCAGAAACATAAATTTGTAAAGTTTTGCTTAAAAAAAAAATCACGTCTCCACTTTCAAGAAACTTCACCAAAGTAAAATGG